CTTCAAATAAAGTGTTACCGATAAATTATACCAAACATGACAAATTTTTAAATTTTAAATCAATTAGACCTGTCATAGATGGCTATCTTTATGAAGACGTAAACATGGACAACTCGTGCAGCTTGTAGAATTCTGCTTTTTTTTAATGGCGTCTCTGAATGTACAGCACATGCTCATGAGCCACCCCGGGCTACAGAAGCCTATTTTTGACATATCGCTACATCTTCCCCTTCCAGCAGCGAAACATGCATGCTTAACATTTCATGGATACCTTGTAGAAATACTTATGCTAGGGGTAAACTGCCTTCAGTCTACAGCAACGTCGGGATTATTCTGCCCTCCATAGTTGCTGTTCCTATCATTCAAATAAAACAAATCTAAAAGTCTTTTATTTACTTTTACATTATCACTGACCAGTTCCAGTGGAATTTCCCACCTCACAAACATGCCCTTGAGTTAACTGATGACATCATGGCTAGATACGGAAGGTAGGTGAGCTTTTTCAATGTCTCTGCAGTAATAGTAGATCACAATGAGATAATTCTATCTCTCAGACTCACACAGATCTGCAGCTATAAGCTGCCAGAGGCCCTCTGGTAGGGTTGAGGTCAGGAGAGGTTCACGCCGGTAGGTTGGTTTCTTTTAAATGCAGAATTTGCATGATAACACATATGTTTAATCTCAGGACTTATGACTGGTCACCACACACCTCCTAGAGAATGCCCAGCACCTTGTTAGTCCTTGGTGTCCTTTATGCAGATATGAAAATACCTCAGCCTTCTGTGCAGCAGGAATCACCAGTAAGTCCTGATATAAAACCAATCCATCCGTTTCAGAGAGATGTGCTCTTGCAGAATAATGACAATGAAGAGACGGGTCCATCACTGTTTTGGGCAGCCATCTGTTCCTGATGAAACTCAATCTATTGCAATACACCATCATGCTGAGTGGCCATATGGATCTTGCAGAGTCATTGGGGTAAGACAGATGACAACATCACACCAGTTCTAAAGTCCCTACACTGA